GCAAAATGGCTCATTCCTTTATTACACGGGTGCTTTTATAGGGAGGGTATAGAAAGTTCTGGGACAGGGGTAGGTTCCTGCCAGGGGGCATCGAATCCTGGGGGTTTCAGATAAGAGGGTCTGAAGAGATAGGTTAGGAGGACATGTCTATTCATTCAGGGGGAAGGGATAGCCAGGAAAGAAGGGGAGGTGTGGTCTTTGGGGGCCCAGGAGAGGGAAATCCTGCAGAGGTCTGTAAGGCTGGGGCCGGCCTGACCCCTTGCAGTTGGCCCCCAGGCAGTTCCGGGCAGCTGTTGTTGCCAGAAGCTCGATTCTCGGCAGGCTTCTTCTGATACCACCTCCTACAACTCCCCCTCTCTTGTTTTTGCAGGGCTGTGAAAACTTGGGAAAAACTTTTAGTCATGGATTTCTTAGCACAAAAAATTAGACAGGGATTGAAAACAAGGATAGGGAAAGTGATAATTAGCCTTTTGTCTTGGTTTATGGTGATAGAGTGGATGGAAGGCAGGTTAGTGGGTGGAGAGAAATTTTTAGTAGAAAGAGAATAAGGTTGGGAGTTATTACAGCATGTGGTGGTGTTAGTACAGAGTCGGGGATAGGTTAGATTTTAGAGTAAGGCTATTAGTAGGGGGTTTAAATCTAAAGCAAGTGGTAGGTACAAATGAGCCTAAAAGATTTAATTCTTGGGGATCTATGTGTAGGGTTCCCTAACGTAGGAGAAGCTGGGAGATAGTGTTTGAAGAAGGAAGGAAATTATCTATAAGGGAAGTGTTCTGGATAAACCTGTTCTAATCAGGTATATCCCTACGAGACAGCTTTTAAAAAGGTTTTACTCATGCTGTCAAAGGAAATGCACATTGTGTCTGTGTCAGTGGTTTCGGTCAAGGCGGTCCAGATGTTCTTTGCCGGTTGCTGCAGTCAGTTTGGGACTGAGAAGGCTACGGTAGTTCATGGTGGAACAAAGGAGAGAAGGATCAGGAGAGCTTGGAGTTCTCTAGGAAGGGCTTGGTTCTTTTTGGGGGGACCCATCTTGGAATGAATTTCCCCTTGAACTTCCACAGCTTGAGAAATCGCATTTATCCATTGTCTTGGTACTTGCTTGGTGTCTTGAGGTGCTGTGTTTCTTCGTATGAGAGCACCTTTAGCTCTACTCGTTGTGGTAGATGGTGCATGTTGCTCTTTAGATGCAGAACTTGGTGCTTGGTTCTCTGAAGGGGTTGTTTTCAAGCTTTCAGTAGATGTTGAAATTGTCTTTTCAGGAGCAGCTTGGATTTTGTTATGTATTGTTTCAGTTTGTGTGCTGGAAGCAATTGCAGGTATCTGTGTCTGTGCAGAGGTCTGCTCTCTGGAGGCAGGCTGCTGGAATGGAGCTTCTGGGGCTGAGTCATTCGTCCCCCCTAGGAAGGAGGGGTTTGCCGGGATGTTTGAAGGGGGCGTGAATAATTTCTGTGTCTCCGCCCACTGTCCACTCCCCTCCCTTTCGTTGTGTAGTTCAGAAAAGTTTTCGCGGGCTTTTGTTGGTTCTTTGATCCCTCTTTCGCCATTTTGGCTGCTTTGTAGTGTTCCCGCCCCGTGTATGTCTTTGTTCTCCCCCCGGTGTCCCTCCCGGGGTCCGTGCCAAGGTGCCGGCGAGTCCGCGTTGTCAGGAAAGGCTTGGGGGGAGGGGGGGGACTCGGGTGGTGCGAGCGCCGCGGCATCTCGGAGCGGCGGCAGCGGCGGGCGCGGTCCGGCCGCCGCCGCTTGAGAAGGGACGGGGCCAGTGCCGCGCGCAGCGCCCGCCAGTCGGCGGGGTCCACCGGCGCTCGGAGCGGGGTGGGGTGGGGCCACGGGGCGGTGGCGGCGGCTGGGGCGGCGGCGGCAGCCGCGGGGCTGCGCGGGGCCGGGGCGGCTCGTCTCGCGCGCAGCTGAGGGCGGCGGGCGGGGCGGGGGGGTGCCGGGCGGCAGCGCCGGGGTAGCGGGCGGCGGCGGGGCCGGGGGCGGCGTCTGCCGGCGGCGCGGAGAGGTGCGGGGAGCCGGCGGGGCGCGGCGCGGGGCCAGTTGGGGGGGCGGGGGATCTGCATTCCTGGCGTGCCTTTTGCCTTTGTCCGCGTTCACGGCTCGGGGGGGCCGGGGATGGTCTGGTCCCGGCGCCGGTCCCGGCTCTGCGGGGCGGGGAAAGGGCTGACCGCAGAGTGGCTTCTGCTCTGGCTGCGCTGGCCGGGCAGCGGGGGGAAGGGGAAGCCTTTCTGTCGGCAGCTCTGTTGTCTGTAGCTTGCTAGGGGAGTTGTTATCAGATTTCAAGGCATTCTCGGCTGCTGGGGGAATCAGTGTGGGAGCGGTTTGTGGCTCCGATTTGTCCCGCTGAGTTTTTTTCTGCTTGTTTTTAAATTGCGGGAGGAAAAGTTTGAAACTCCGTTTTGTCTTTTCTGAATTGGAGAGCTTGTTTCCCATAATTCTAAGGGGAGAAGGAAGGGGTTAAGACGGATCACTCACAGGTACTCCTCGCAGAGACGTTCTCCAGTCAAGGCAATGGCCGGAGCAGGCTGAACTGGGCGTTGCACCGGCGTGTCCCGCGGCGGGGGGTGTCTGCGGCTGCAGGGTCGTAGGAGTCGCAGGGCTTCCGCCGGGGTTGCACGCAGCTTGCTTCAGGCAGTTACAGCGGCGAGAAGAGGGTAGACGGGGTCCACGAAAGACATCTGCGAGTGGGGCCGTTGGAGATAGATCTGGATTCTGGAATTCCAAATCTACCAGTAGCTCCGAGGAAACAGAGATTGATCTTAATGTAAGATCAATGAGTTCTGCTTCATACGGGGCACCATTTGATACGTGGGGGGGATTATGTCCACGCTGTCCGGCCCAGGGCTCATCTTGCGTAGGGAAGGAGACACATACACACAAGTTATATGTCCAGCAAAATGGCTCATTCCTTTATTACACGGGTGCTTTTATAGGGAGGGTATAGAAAGTTCTGGGACAGGGGTAGGTTCCTGCCAGGGGGCATCGAATCCTGGGGGTTTCAGATAAGAGGGTCTGAAGAGATAGGTTAGGAGGACATGTCTATTCATTCAGGGGGAAGGGATAGCCAGGAAAGAAGGGGAGGTGTGGTCTTTGGGGGCCCAGGAGAG